GCTCAAAGAAATTCTTTATTAAAATATTAAACTTTAAGGACGCTAAAATATTCATTTAATATTGAATAACAAATATTAAACATTATGACATTATGGCGCTAAAATATGTATATATATATATATATATATATTTGATAATTGATATCGGAAAAGGTTAACAATTTTATGATTTATTTAAATTATCCCATCCAAATTATTCCATTATTTGAATTATTCTATTTAAAATTCATTATTCAGTGAATTAATTTCATATTTTTCTAGCGATATTTTCATACTTCATTTATATCTAAATAACAACATGCTTTTTTTTTATTTTTTTCTTGCATATTTAGAGTAAATAATTGAATGAAGTAGGAGAATATTTTGAAATTAATTCATGAATTTCGGATGGGATAATTTAAATAATTTAGTAGATTAACTCCTCAATATGTCTTTTGTAATTGGAACTAAACTAAACAACTACTATCTAAATATATGTTTAACTCAGTTCTATTCTTATTAATTTCATTCACACCATTTTTAATTCCGCTCAAAGAAATTTGCATAATGTTGTCGAGAGTGTAGAAAAGAGTAGGGGAAAGGGTAAAAAAAAAGTAAGAAAAGGAAAGAGCATAAAATAAAGTTTATGTAAGTAAGTATTGATTAAATATGTATGCAAATTGAGCATAAATGACAAGTGTAGAAGTTTTTCAATAAATCATTTTCGTTTTTTTCCTCTTTTTTTTTTAATTTTGAAAGTGTATTCGTGATATTTTGCATGAAAATTTCAAGCAAAAATAAAATAAATATGTCGCATTTTATGAATGAAATTGAAGTAATTCGGTAAAATCAAATAAAACTGTGTTTTTTTTTTAAAAAAAATTTAATAAAAATGATTCAAATTAGTAAATCAATGAAATGGATAGGTTATGAAAAGGTTTAAAAATTGAAATGACAAGTGATATATGGTGTGTATGTGCGTGTGCATGTTTATGTGTGAGTATGGAACAGTGAACGGGTCACTGGAAGGACAGGCAGGGTCAGGTTCCCGCCTCTGTGACCTTCGTGAGGTCAATGTCGTTAATCGTTATGCTGTATGTTATATCCTGCTTTACTAACCATTATTTTTCGATCCAAATTTACCAGGATTGATTTATGGATAATGAAAAATGGTTTGACCTTTTGATTGTGAAAAATTCGATCAATTGAAATTAGTAAAGTAAATTTCTAAAATAAGTGAAAAAAAAGGCGATAAAATAGGATTGGAAACTGAAAAGCTTTTATTGAAGTAAAACTTAAGATTAAACAGGAAGAGGAATAGAAAAGTTAATAAGCTAAACGTATTGATTTTTAAAAATAAAAGAAAAAAATTAAGTAAAATAGTAAAGGTAATGTGAAGGAAAAAAAAAAGAAAGAATAAAGATCGATAGGTTTTTCAAGTATAAAAATTACGGCTAACAAAAAACAAAAGTTGTCAACTTTTTGAGGGAAAAAAAATGAGAATTTATTCAAAGTTTAACGAATCTAAAAAAAAGAAAACCGCGAAGACTTTGCAATCTTATCACTGATGATATCAATGATAAAGTAATGTTGTTAATCGTAAAGCTTTAAAGCTTTAAGCCAATTTTAACAATTTTCTAATTTAATTTATTCCGCAATTTCTTCACTGTATATTTTGTTCATCATTTGAAATTTATGATACAGTTCCTTCGAATGGTCATTTTTCAAAAATTTCAAATCGATTGACCTTTGATTTGTTAGCGATGTTTTGTCGAGAAAAATTGTTGTCTAGTATATTCTTTTCTTTCATGAAAATGATATATTTATGATGGATTTTAAAGTAAAAAAAGCAGAAGTTCTAAATGTAAAATGATAAAATAAGTTCAATTATCTAAGTTAAGTTTAATCTAGTCATTGTCATTTATTCGTATTCTTAATTTCGAATTATTTATTTTATTTTAATACAGTATGAATTTTCATAAAAAATTCTTAAATTACTATACGGGTCAATTAAAAAGATGGTATGAACTTAAAAAAAAAGGAAGATTAGGCATTTATATGTATATCATAAATGACCAGCTATGACATCTACACACAATACAAATTTTAAATCTGTTTTAATTTGTTACAAATGCATTTTGTCCCATTATATTTACTAATCAGTGCTCAATCAAATGAATCCATTTTTTTGAACTTTGGTCAAAAGACGACAGATGGATAAATGGCTATTGCAGGTGACATGGCCAAAGGGCGCTCGGACATGACCGTCCAATACCACATCGAAAAAGGCGCTGATAAATGTC